GCGCAGCGAGACCTAAACGAAATAGTCTGCCAAATGGCTTTCCCGGTATACGTGATCTCTTATTTTTATCGGGAGTCCGGCATAATACTTTCGATATAAGCTGTATTATTTCTACGGTAGAATAATGGCCCAAGTTTCCTTTAGCGCGTGCCATTAAATATGCTAATGCGCTACATGAGCGACTGGGTCACGGGAAGACAGTATCGTACGGGAGTCTTTCAGGACAACGAACCTCGCTCAGTTTATTCGCTATACAATAACTACGCACTGCAAGTCGAATTTCATTTGAACTCCTGGCAATTTTTTGTTCCTTAAAAACTCTTCGAAATTTTTATGAAATTTAAAACGATGCTCATCTGCGTGAAAGACTAGTTATTTACTCAGTAAATGCGAATTAAATTCTTGTGTGCATAATCACACTTGCTTTGTCAATTATACAGGGTACCCTGGTTCTGCACTTTCCTACCCTCCTTATCGGGGAGCTGGCCCCAACTAGCGGTGCCCATAACGCTCGCTTGCCTTATTGATGGCATTTGCGAGATTTAGTGGCGGTGTCTGTTTTAGTTTTTGGGCTTCGTATATCGTATTCTTCGGCCATTAGCGCGCATGGAAGTGATTCTGGCATGAACTACAGCATCATTAATTCAAGCTTCTTTTGTAAGGAGCTCTGGCCAAATGGGACCTCCAGACGCGTGGCGATTGTGCACACAGAAAATCTGAAGTCTTGTGGACAAAAGATGATGTATTGCTCATTAGGTTCTTTGCTTTATGGTCAGCGCCACAACCTGCTGGGATTGCTTATATCTTACTTTCACTTCAAACTATTTATGTACTTTTTATTTCCGTGCCTCAGTTGGTCTCCACACTTGACTCCTTGCAGAGCCTGACCTTCGATGTTGACCCACCTAATTAATCTAACGATGACAGGTAAATGGCGTATTTATGATCTCGATCGTCCTGCAGACAAAGACATTACTACCAGTGGGACAAAAATGAGTCCTCAACGCTATGTATTTCGCAACTGCTAAACCTTAGTTAACTACGTGTTTCTGCACAAGTTATTGCTTCCTCCTCGTCGATATTTCCCCGTGTTCAGACGAGTATCTCAAATACTCCCTAAACCGCAAATCGCGATGCCCTCGCCACCACTTCTTCAACTCGCTGTCCTAAATGAAAGCGGCGTATCGCAGCTGTTGATCTATCGTTCTGGGTGGATGAGTGTGGTGCTTCATTGTTGGGTTCTGAGTTCTGAGAATTATGGTGCTTGATAAAAGCCTTACCATGCAAGTGTTAATGAGCTTCAACACAGTATGGTTCCGGTTACTTCCCTTCTTCACAAGTGTTGGTGATTGCAACGTGGCATTCGCTCAAGATCGGGCCATTTAATAATTTATTTTTGTGATTGCATGTTGCATTGCCTCTACATGAGAACGGATTCATTTCCAGCACATAAGGATATGCTTATTGTTGAGCATTTCGTGGTGGAGTTGCGTGACGCGGCGAGGAACTGAGATGCTTGTTGTGTACATGTTAATACGTTTTAGTCTCATGCAAACGAATGAACTTTTTTTGTGAGCCAGTCACCAAAGTGAGTCGTATTTAGCGGTAACTAAATGGTAAAATGCATGACCTATTGGTGAATATATTTATCGTTCTTCGGTAGCCATGTTGGACCTCCATAATTTCATATCCAGTTATTTCCAAAGCTTATAGTTCCAACACAACGATAGAAAATTTTCTAATTTCCTATTTCGTGCGATTTACAAATTCACATTATAGAACTTCCACGCAAAATATGTGTTATTACAGCAAAATGTGTTACATTTTTACATTATTCATTAAAATGACCATGGAGAGCATGCCACGCCTGCATTTATCTCCAGGACTTTTGGTCGCTTCCTTTCTATGTTTCCTGCTTCCGCTCCTAAATCGCGGTATCCTACAACCGGTTTTTGTTGCATGCGTCTACCACAAATTTATGTGCTCACTCCAAATTTAGTGATTCTCTGGAAAACTATAACAATTCAGAAGTAAGCTGACGTATAATTTACTACAGTCAAATGCTGCGTCTATGTACATTTTGGACCATCAACAATACGCTATTCGTATTTTAAGACCTGAACTTGTGACGCATGTAGACCACATTTCATTAAGAGAATATTGTGAATAATATCATATAACAAATACTTTCCATCTTATACCTTATATTTCCCTATAACTTTTTATAGACATAGCCCGTTAGCATTTACTAAATTGTTTGCCCGCAATGTAGCATATACAGTAATTTACTTTTATTTTGAATTCTGCTTTCATCTAATTAAAGTCTCGTTCACGTCTCTTAAACGCGTTAAATATAAAAAATATTATGCGTAGCCGATTAATTTGTTCAACTCGTTGAATATCGCTGTTCAACTCGTTGAATATCGCACAATTGCGCAATTTAGACCCTGGATGTTAACCATAATCCTTTTAGTAGAAATTTCCCCCTATGACCCGATGATCTCCTGGCAGCGGCCGCCACATTACCCGTGCAGATGTTCCGCGAACTCCATTGATTTGAATGAAATCTGAAGAAAGAAAATTGCTTTCCATTCACGGTCGCTGGACTTCATATGGGATTAGTTGCCGCCTCGTGTAGAACGCCCGTCATCCGGCTCAGGGACTCGTATATATGAGATCTCGTGTGTCCTCATATAGTGAGTCGTGTGTCGTGTGACTATATGCTCTTTTCGTGGTATAACAAGTAAATCACCTTATAGGCATAAACTTCAAAACCGTAATGTTATAGCAGCAGCCTGTTAGACTGCACTGAACTTATTGCTGCCAATCGCGATCAAGTTGCTGCAACGTTCCCTGCGTTACAAGGAAATGGGTTTAAAGTAAAATTACGAAAGTGCAACTGTACTACCAGTCTCTTCATAAAAATTTCATCGTTATCGACTCCGTTAAATTACCGTTCACTCTCCTTAATTATTTTTTCACAATCTCCTTCATTGGAATGACATTTTTATAGCAGCATCTACTTCTCTGTAAGTAACATTTTTCAGCAATGCTTGCATAGCCGTAATATTTCTACAGTCTATGTACTACACTCACCTGCAGCTTCTATTGCATTGTCATGAAATTATTGTTGAAAATTCTGCATTCTCAAGAAATGATTTCGTTTGTTCTTATATTTCCATAAAAATATTCGGCAGTTCCTGCGTTTCCGTTAGTTGTTGCGGAAGCATTTCCATGGTTTAGAACTTTTGGCAACAGGTTCTGCACGCAGAGAAACTTACAGCTGCTCCTGGGTGCCCGGTGATGCTTGTTAACGAAACAACAATTGCAACGCTTGTTAACGAAAAATACAATTGCAATTGTTATGGTTTGCAGTAAATTGTGTTGCAGTTCATTCATGCCAAGAAATAGCTGTTGCCGTTTTTACGTGCCTAAAAAATAGTTGCAGTTCATGAATGCAAAGAAATAGCTGCGGCTTTTCTGTCATGCACAAAAAATGATAACTGTCGCACTTTTTACCTGCTGCAAAATAGAAACTACAGTTCTGCAAGCTGACAAGTAGCTGCAGCTTTTCTTTCGTGCAGAAAATGGCTGTTGCAGCTCAGCTCTTACATGTTGAAAAATTGCATCAGTGATGAATTTTTTTCAACGTTTTTTTTCTGCAAACATAGCTCCAGAAGTTCTGCCAGCTGAGAAAAACTGCAGCAGTTCTGCATGCTCACAAATAGCTGCAGCAGTTCTGCATGCTCACAAATAACTGCAGCAGTTCTGCATGCTCGCAAATAGCTGCAGCAGTTCTGCATGCTCACAAATAGCTGCAGCAGTTCTGCATGCTCACAAATATCTGCATGCACACAAATAGCTGCAGCAGTTCTGCATGCACACAAATAGCTGCAGCAGTTCTGCATGCACACAGATAGCTGCAGCAGTTCTGCATGCTCACAAATAGCTGCAGCAGTTCTGCATGCTCGCAAATAGCTGCAGCAGTTCTGCATGCTCGCAAATAGCTGCAGCAGCTCTGCATGCTCACAAATAACTGCGACAATTCGTACCTGCATGTAAAACGCTGCCCAGTCTCGGCGCAGCCACATCAGCTGTTGCTGCATGAGCAGCGCCCGCGTTATCAGGTGGCATGCTGAGCGTAGAGATAAGGCGCTGTTATCACAGCAGGTGGAGCGTTGGGTTGCCGTCTAACAGCCCTCATCTTAAATGCTATCTGACATGGAACTGTTCTCGCGCATTACATCCATTAGCTCGCATCGCGTGCTAGTGTAATGCCACTGCATCGTCCATACACCCCTTCCGGTCAACACGAGTCCCTACTGGGGCATATCTTAATATGCAATGTGGACAATTATGCTCCATGATGAATTAATTATATATAATATTTCTGACTTATGATTTGCACTGCGGTCATAAAAAGTTTTTTGTCGATTAGAAGTTTGCTCTATTGTTGGACCAATTTTACAGTTCAAAATGCTGAATATTTATCATACATTTACATAGTTAAATCCAAGTTTGTAAAAGAATATACACTAACGCAAAACTTTCGGGCGAAATATTATCTGCTAATGTCTTCCCTCTCCCAAGTTTACTACATCCAGTGCTCTTGCCGAGTTGTCATTATCGTTATGATCCTCGGTCATAGAAGAAATATGTTTTCATCTAATAGGATCTTTTTAATTACCTATTTTCGCCCATTTTAAAAATAACGTTGCTATCAGATGATCCATTTACTTGCCAAGTCATTGTATGAAACATTGGTAACTTATCTTCGAATAACTTATTCGTTTTCTAATGATATATAGTAACTTCTTCATTTTTGCTAACCATCATTAGTTAAGCATCAGCCACTCTTTTTTGGAATAGTATTCTATTTGTATCATCGAAGTTTCTTTTTCTTCCTAATGTTTTATTTATGTTGTGTAATGTGAATAATTAACAATAAATATATTTGAAATTTCGTTCTGTTTATAATGTTTTGCTTGCGTTTTATGCAGGATGGAGTGGATGGCCGATGCGCCCTGTAGCAGGGGCAGGTGAGCGGACCGCGGGGCCGCCATGACGCCTCTACAGGAGGTAGCGGCCCCAGGGAGGCTCCCTCGGCGGGCCATGCCTCCGTCTGTGTTACTGAGCCTCATCTTCTGCTGGTGCTTATGGAGCGTCAAGTCCGAGCCTCTGTCCCTGCACCTCACCAAGAGACACCCGTCCACATGGGACGTCTCAGCCGGGACGGTTTTGTCCAACATCAGCAAAGATGTTGTCCTGCAATTCGTGCCGGCTAATCAGAGCCACGTCCTAAATCACGTTGCTGTTGACATGGCAAGTGACGACGTTTATCTAGGAGCAGTCAACAGGTTATACCAACTCGACGGTGCCTCCATGAAACCGATCTACCAGGTCATCACCGGCCCTAGATTAGATTCCCCAGGTTGTCATGCCAATGGCTGCAATTCTGATATTAAAAAATCTGCCACTGATAATCACAACAAAGTTTTAGTTATTGCTCCTTCAACGGAGTCGGTGATTGTGTGCGGCTCTGTGTCGCAGGGCGCTTGTGACACTTACCGTCGCGGCAACTTATCCGTCCACAACGAGTACATCCCTCGAGCCGTCGCAGCAAACGATCCGCATTCGTCCACGTTCGCGTTTATTGGACCTGAACGCCACAGTACTTTTGGAGAGTCCGAAGCTCTTTACATAGGAACGACGTTCACGGCAATCGGAGACTACAGACATGACGTACCTGCGCTTGCCACTAGAAATCTAGTCGATCTTGATTTTTCTAAGTTTACGTTTTCTGAACAGTCTTTGTTAAGAATCGATGTCAAGTACCGAGATAACTTTCTTGTCAAGTATGTTTACGGATTTAATGCATCAAACTATGTATATTTTTTGACGGTGCAGAAAAAATCTCATCTTCCTGGCCAAGAGGAAGCGGGATACATCAGTAGAATTTCTAGAATATGCATTTCCGATGATAACTATGACTCCTACACCGAGATTTCCTTGGAGTGTCACGGTCCCGGAACTGGTCACAATTTAGTACAAGACGCGACCATTTTTGATGCAGGGGAAGATCTTGCAAGGAACTTGGGCATTTCAACGGGTGATCAAGTGATGGCAGTTGTTTTTGCCGAGGCCCAGGGTCACTCCGACAACCCTCAAAAGTCGACAGCTTTGTGTTTATACTCCGTCAAAGAAGTTGACGCACGTTTCAATGAGAACATTCATATGTGTTTCAACGGGACCAGAAGATATCGTAGCATGGAACACATTTCGGGGACCATTCTGAACGGCAAATGCCCCACGCAGTGGTCCACAGGCAACATTCAAGACTTTTGCAATGAGGGACTCAAAATTTCGGGGTCTGCGCCATTGACAACGAGACCAGCGCTGCTCCTCAACGACACACTCGTGACTTCAATCGTCGCCACATCGGCCAGTACGCACTCCGTGGCCTTCATGGGCACCAGTGAAGGTTTTATCAAAAAGGTAAGGGCCTTATTTCCATTGAATGATTCTTCATGATTTTATTCGAGCATAATTTAATTGTAAAGTTGATTATAGTTCATATTCAATTAATCAAAATTAATTATAAGTCAAACTCGAACAAAACTCGTTAAGCGTTTCATTACATACTTGTTTAGAGATATTTTTTAGTGCCCAGCTAACATTTTTAGATAGTTATAGATGATGATGGTATAATATTGGCAGCAGTTGAAAAGGTAATAGCTTTGCATACATTCCCTATAAGAGCACAGTACAATAACTCATAACTGGTAGATAAAACAGCAATTGAAGCTTATTTTTTTTTGTTGAAGAATCTTAAGAATCCCAGGAAATTCCACAAATATAGCTAATATTTTGTTTCTTGAGTTTTCGGTTTCAGTTGTGATACACGCTGGCCCTATGGTTACCCTGCATGTTATAATGTGTCACGGGGCCCTTGAATATTGGGTCACGAATATTGAGTCCGTGTTTTTGTTCTCATGCAATGTTTCTATTCACTGCCAGAATTTAATTTCTATTGGCATGGCGACTGACGTGACAGGGCATGTCACTGGCTGTATTTTCTTCCTTAATTAAGTTGCACGAGCTCGCCTGTGTCTATATAGTTGCACTAGCGATTGAATGAATACTCGTCAAATTTTTTGAACGTATCATATTTTTTGCGAGGCTGCACAATAGAATTAAAATTTGTTTGTTGGTCCCTAAATTGATTGATAGCTGAACTTCCATAGTGTAATTCTTATATATTTAAGTGTGCTCAATGCATTTTTTTGTGTAGCCCTGAAATTACGACTGTTCTTTTAACTTATTATAACTTAGATCCCTATCTTTGTTTCGGATTGAAATGTAAAGAATAAAATAATTATTCAGTCAAATTCTATATTTTTTCGCTAATTTCTTTTCAATCCATTTGTATTTTTGCGTTAAAATTACCATCCAAAAATATTAAAATAATGATAATAATGGTTTGAATGCTATATTCCGTAGATAATTTACAATCACGCTTCTCCTTGGCGAAGTGATTTCCATAGCTGAAAGGATTTCCACTCTTAAGATCATTAGTACTCACAGCGTTCGGCAACATTCATATTTTCAATACATTACAACCTTATAATTTATGTTAAATTGAAAGCATATCAGCCGTTCTTCGGTATTGCGTGAGATGCAGGCGCACGCAAAACTTATTTATTGAAAGCTTAAAAATTTTTAGCTTGGCTGCCGATTCGCTTTTCACGCGTAATTTCGTCCGTAGGAAGCAGTTAGTTGGGATCTTTTGTACTTTGGTGAGAGACTCTTTGCAAGTGCAGCTACAGCGCCGCTCCATTTGCTCAATGCACGCGAGCTTTGTTGTTGGCACTCGCGCGTCTGTTTGAAGTGCTACGGTCGCCTCTTATTCAGCTTTCAAAGACCTGAGGTGCGAGACCTTCTGTATCATCACTGCCACTGACTCATTCAAGATATATAATTCTTCAGGCCTTTCCTTCTGCTACCAAATGTTTTCCTTCTATCCAAAACAAAACTTCAAACAAACTCCTCTCTATCTGGTAATTCTTTCACTCTTTCGAAAATCCCGGCAAAGGATTGTCCGTGCGTGTGTTGCAGCTTCAAGAGATTTTTAGGTAACAAATATGCCTTTTATGCGAGTCGTATTTATTTTTCAGTAGAATTATTGCGTTGCGATGTAGTTGAATTTTCAAATGTTCAATTTCTTCCATTTCATACTTTACTGATTTTTTCACGCATATTTCCATATATAATTGGGAATTGTTAATGACGAGAAATTTTTTTATTCCTAGTCCAATTTTTCGATTTAAATGATTGTTGTTGCCCTAATATTCGCTCGGTTAACAGATTTTTTTTCTCGAATACCGTCAATAAAATAAAAGCCCTGGTATTTAATTAACGTTAAAGTAAAAATAATTCGTTGCTTTAATTAGGTTTATATTGATGATTAAAATTCAAATGGGATCATTTTTTTCTATAGTGCATTCTTTCTACTCCTACTTGACACATTTTGAAACCGCGTAGTTCTTTTTAGCGCATTTTCTCATTTATGGATAAAATGCACTATTGTGCTCGCCATGTCCGTCTGTCTGTCCGTCCGTCTGTCCGTCTGTCCGTCCGTCCGTGACCTCAAGTTTTCGTCGACGAGAAAATGCGCTCTCTGTCACTCACTGCTGTGAGTACTGAGTTATATTTTTTTATCTTAACTCGTTTTCGTTGCAGTTTATGGTTTAGGTGATTTAAATTATCTTGAAATCGTAAATTACGCGGATTTATCCTTCCTCAAAAGAAAAATAAAACAACTGGTAGATGCCTTAGTTGTTCCTAGGCTGGATTACTGTATTTACTCTTACCTGCGTGGATTATTATTATCCACATTTACATGCTGCGCTACTGTACTTGTACTACTCTCTTAGTAAGCTTCCATTGATCCTTTAGCTATTTATCTATGCCATTATATAATTGTTGTTATTTCTTCCGACAACTGTGCTTCAGCGCGATAATTAATAACTTTAATACCGATAATCACAGGCGCTGCTCGTGGGCGCTGACAGCGCGACGCTGTACGCTGATGTACCCGTTGACCCCGGGCACGCGGTGCTCAAAGACATGGAGTTCAGTCCACGCAAAGACTTCCTCTACGTCCTGACCAGCCTTCGGGTGAGAAGCCTTTGCCTTAATTATTCTTAGCATGTTTGGAGAATTTTTGAGAGATTAATACTTCTCTTGTTTATATTTTATTAGAGTTTTTGAAGTAGCAAGGATATCCTACAATTTCTTTGGGGTCGAATTATAAAGTAGCCCGCCACGCAATTTTTGTGAAAATAGACCGTCTCAAATTCAGCAACTTCGGCGTAAGTAGAACTTGATTACTTTTATAATAAGTACTTGAGGTGTAATAATTATAAATCTATTACTTATTATTACTCTCTTGCGTATTGCTGCAATTCTCCTACAACAATTGAATTATATTTATACAAGTATTTAGTAACGATTAGTTATACAAAAATGTTTGAAGGACTTTCAAATTTATAATAATTGAAAACGCTAAGATCGATTAGATTCCTATTCGTAGGATAACTTAGCAGGATATAAATTAGGCCATATATTCAGTCACAGCTTATTACATTCACTTACAAACTTCAAATTTTCCATCAACACGTACCACCCTTTCTCATTTTGTAACATGCTATCCCTCAACTTTTGAGACGCTGTTCCTCAACTTTTGAGACGCTGTTCCTCAACTTTTGAGACGCTGTTCCTCAAGTTTTGAGACGCTGTTCCTCAAGTTTTGAGACGCTGTTCCTCAACTTTTGAGACGCTGTTCCTCAGGTTTTGAGACGCTGTTCCTCAAGTTTTGAGACGCTATCCCTCAACTTTTGAGACGATATCCCTCAACTTCTGAGACGCTATTCATCAACTTTTGAGACGCTATCCATCAATTTTTGAGACGCCGCCTATAAACTTAAGAGACACTATACATCAACTTATGAGACGCTGTCCCTCAATCTTTGAGACGCCATTCCTCAACTTTTGAGATGCTACTCATCAATTTTTATTTTCTTTCATCAAAAATTCTATTCTTTTAACTAACGGTTGGCTTTCTCTTGCTTACGTCGTGATATCCTCAAACAACGAATTTCTTCTCTCAACTTACGACACGCTTTCAAACAACTTACGACAGGCTTACCCTCAAATTACTCCACGCTTCCTCTCAAATTACACCACGCTTTCTTTGAACTTAACCACGTATTCTCTCACCTTAACCACGCTTTCCCTCAACTTGAACCACGTTTTATTTCAACTTACACCACGCTTTCCCTTGACTTACTCCACACTTTCCCTCAACTTAACCACGCGTTCTCTCAACTTTACCACGCATCCTCTCAACATAACCGCGCATTTTTCTCAACTTAAACCACGCTTTCTCACGACGTACTCGAATGCCTTCCCTCAGCTTACGATACAGCCTCCAAAACTTTACAGTGCAAATTCCACCTTTAAAATCTAGACGTCAAATTTTCGGCAGCCGGCGCGAACTCTGTTAGCCGACGCTACATTTAACCCAACTCTAAATTATTCAAAGGCCTTGGCGTTGGATTTTTGTTAGGATTTCTAATAATATCGAAACTTGTTTGTTCTGACGTGCCCTAGGGGTCAAAATATCTTAATTTTTCACCTGCCACCCGTTGTTCGCTGATCATTTTTATCCACTCTACTCTCTTTTATGCACTAATGAACCTCGCTCAACTATTCCAACCAATATATCATACAGAATATTTCCAAAACCTTTTATTTGGTCGTAGATCCTTGAATACTTGTGTGCCGCATACAAGTTGTGTTGTATATATAACCTGAAATGCTTGTATTCGTCCCAAATATTCTACTACGGAATCTGGCAACATTGTTTTCAGCTCGAAGTAATTAATGCTGCACAGAATTTTTGTCGGTCTTTTGTTTGTTGTGTATTCTCTGGATTCGCCCGCAACGCTGAATATTAGATCGAGTTGACTGCGTTCGGTTCTGGAGATTTGTTAGATTTTGTTTTTTATCGCCTCTATATATTTTACCATACATTCGAGGAATTTTTTATGAATGTTTCATGAAGATTCTGGTAGAAAAATAGGTGACATTTTAATTGTTCAATAAGCCTTAGCCAGTAGCGATAGCAGTTGATTCAATTTTTATAGTCGTATTTTCCATTTTGCAAACCGCAAGAGTTTTACTCATAGTTTGCATAATCTACACTCGCTTCACCATTAACAACGCATCTCCCGCTGTAAAATAGATCATCAAAACCGCTTTGTAATTCATCAACTAAAATCGCTGTGTTGCTCTGTCAATGATTCAAAGTTAATTACATGAGAATAACTAGTGTGAACTTCGTGAGCTTCTTCGTAAAGTAGTTTGCAAAGTTGTATCACCTTTGTTCTCATTTAGTAGGATGAATTCATGAAATTCTGATGCGGGTCCCAAATGTACCATTAGGCGGTGCAGTTCAATTGCTTCTTTTTAATTACGGATGCCCTCCTGCCTTGCACTGCACTCTTGCTGATTCCTTCCCATTAAGGGAAAAATTACCCGTAATGCTGGTGCTCTTTTTGAGTCGACGATTTCGGCGGCTGCCGTATACGTACTAAGGCTTTTACTAATCCAGATAATTACTTGCATGATAATTGAGCTACAGCATGAAGCGTAAGCTTAGCTATACCGAATTGTTGAAATTTCATTATGTTGGAGAAAGTATTGTGCTGTTACCTTCAGCATGTACTCGACTGCTCGGATACTACGTACACAGTTCTTTCTGTGAATTTCTTTTAATTTATTGAACTCTTTAAGTTAAAAAGATCCATGTGTATATTAAACTATTCTTCCTGATTATGTTGTTTATGTCGTGCAATTTTGTGCTACGTTAATAAGGTGTTCTATTATCCTTCGTGTGAGAGATAGCAAGTAACTTATTCGTAAGCACCGTGAAATTAGTGCAAACTAAGAGTAAAACGTTTGTTCTTAACAACATTTTTTGAAGACGAAATTCTCTAATTTATTTTTTAGTTATGCGATTTCATTCTGATCCAGCCTGGAAAAGTGTCCAGAAATGAAGCTCTAAAGAAAGATATATTTTTTCAGCGAACCTTTTCTATTTATCGCGCTTGCTTGAGAAGCCTTCGTGAAAAACAACGTCTTAAATGTATAGGCAGGCCATTTGAATCACTCGTGTTCTCTTGCCTTGTCGATCGGGGTAGGAAAAACCTTGGTTACCACGGCAACTATCGTTTTTTGTTTCAATTTAATCTTATTTGAAAATGTAAATTAGACTTATTTATCATAGTAAACATAATAACAAGCTTATTCTTTTGACCGTTACTTGAAGAGTCTGAAGCGTTTTTGGTTCATTTATAGCTGACTCAAAAATATTTTTAATCTAAGATCTTGTTGCTAATTGCATTCCTATGGTAGATTCCGTACGGTTGTTTTACAGGTATATACTGTTAATATATGATCAATTCAGCTATTTTCCACTCCTGCTGCTATTAGTTCGAGAAAGCTGTGCCGAGTGCCACTATTGATGTTTACGACCATTCATCGATCATTTCTAATAATTCACGATCTTCATCCATCTTATGAATGGGTAGAAAGAGAGGCGCATCATCGTTGTGTCTGGTATATGCTAGACACTTCTGTGTCACGCCATTCACAAGCCAGCAGTTGTCATGTAGAACGAGGTTTGATTGATGTTTTTGCTCGTATGAATGCCTGTCAAACGCAATATAGGCGGCTGAGAACTCTTCGACTATCATTACTCAAATTGTACTGTCGAACACTGCATAAAAATATTGTTCAGCCGCCACGTGCATGGCATCCAAGTTTACTTGTCAATCTTTTTTTTACTTCTAACAAATCATTCTGTTATGTCACACCGATAAGTGGTCATTGTAGCTTGTAGGCAACACTTTACTACGTTACTTGGCTATAAATAGTCGCTTATTCTGAAGTCGCTGTTGCACAGAGTGTTGGGCATCATTCACTGGTTGTACGAGTTATTGTTGCACAATATCCAACAATGAATTATAAACATTTCACTGTACACTCAAAATTGGCGAGTAGACAGGTCAAGAGAATTTGATTTTTATGGACTTTAGTAGGCAATCAGTACCATTACGTATCCCCAAAAGTTGAGTTTGTTGAATATTTTGGTAATGGATTCAGTGACCACTGAAATGAGCTGTGATCGACTTGAGTATGTGTAATGGCAAGTGCAACGCAGTTCTCAAGCTATATGTATATCCCCAGACGTGATGCACAAGAAAATGAATAACCGAAAAAGTCCGATTACGCGAGAAAGAAGAAGCCGCCGCTAAACATGAAGTCAGTTGTATAAGCTATGAAGGATCGTGCACCATCACCCCTTGTTTGTCATGGCGCTTCTAGTTTGTTTGTGTTCAAAGATTACGTTCTTGCGAGACTTACAGAGCGTCGTGTGTTTGCTCAAGTCTCCCCTTGCTCAACCTGCCTACAGAAGCGGCCTTCATCTCAAATTTGGGTGCCTTTTTAGCTGCTGTAAATTTTCATCGCCTAGCTTGTTTCGCTCTTCGCTTTCTCAAGTTTTTAATTGCTGATATTTACGCTGCCGCTAGAACAGTTTTTTTTCGTTGCCATGCTCCGCTGAACGCATTCACTGCAGCTGTTGGTCATATGTTTGGCTTTGCTCTATTTTGCGACTTCGATACATGAACTACTTTGGTTTAATTATTCACGTGTACATTTGTGCTTAATTTGAGGTATTGGTTATGATACTTTTCTAAAAATGCACAACGTTTATTAGAAATTGGTCATGTTTGTCGTACCGATGACTGACTGAACTTTCACGTTTGCCTTCATGGTCTTACCTTGCTTGCTTATGTGATTACATACTCACTTGATCGTAAATTTTGAACGCGCTTTCTTAAAGAACAGGGCTTACTTTAGGAATCTTATTCGACTTAAAGTTGCATGAAAGTACTGGGTATTATTTTAATGGCATGCTGTGTGAACCGCAAGGAAAAACCTCGTTGATTATAATGAGTAGTTCTTAAATCGTGTTACTTTCAACGTTCATGATGCTTGTCCAGGTGCTAAAGTTGCTATTTGATACCAAAAATTATCTACTGGAAGCAATTGTTCTTCTCTCCAGTCGCTACGGTAACGTTTGCGCCTTTTGTTAATTTGAATTAATTGTGAAATTGAATGATTTGAATTTTTATGCGTCTCTAAATTCTCATTTGTTGTGGTTTTCAGCTTTGATAAACAAGTTGAATGTTCGATCATTCCTTTTTAGCGTATTTTCTCATTTATGAAAAAAAGGCCGTGACTTCACGTTTTCGTCGACGAGAAAATGCTCAATCTGTCACTCACTGCAGTGAGTACCGAGTTATACCTATTTTTTATTTTATTGAATAAATTAGCGCAAACTTGATTCATTTTAGCTATAATCATTGACTATTTGTATCACTTTGCCGCCGATGATACACGTGGCGTCGCTCAATCAACACTGGCTTCAGGCTGTATGATTTTCGAGCCTCGCATGTGTTTGTTATAACGTCGTGCATGGGAAGACTCTCAAACTTACCAAAGCTTTGAAATAAAATACTACCGGGACAATATGTTCCCCTGAAGAATAGGAAACATCGAGGGGCTTTAATTGGTGAGCTTTCATGCCTCTAGTTATGTTGAAAAATATTTGATTTTTCATTGCAGCGACAGAAAATCCTTTGAACATTTCAGCCTGCTGAAATACACCAGTTTTGACTATCTAGCGCTTGAAAACCGAGCTTTCTCTTGTTTATCTGTTTTATCGAGTGCTTGGAATTCAAGAGGATTGAGCGCCGTTAGAACCTGATTGGTTTTTGCTTTCTCGACATCGTCGCACCGTGGCGACATGTTCCGTTTATCGTCCAGCAATGTGCGGTAGCATCTATTCCGCGGAATTCGCTCTTAGTAACAAGTTGTGGAATAGTACTCAAAGGTTTATCTCGTTTTTTTGCCACGCAGGCGAGCGAATTTATTGAGGGATAAGGGATATCATTTAAAGGCGAAACTGTTTTTGCTTAAACTTTGAATCGTAAGTTTCTAAATTGTTGTTCCATAATGTTATTATTTTGTGTACATATGTCAACGAACGAGGATTTACAATTCAGATTGTCGAAATTCTCGTGATAATTTTAAAATTTTTATTAATTTGTTTTCATTCAAGTCTGTTTAGTTGTTTACAAAAACGTACGTGCAATGATAGTTGACTTCAACGGCGCATTTTAACGAATTTTTCTCTTTTATATTCTTGACATGGTCAATTGCTGTTTATTTGTCCAAAACCAATAATTGGCAGTGTATTTTTATAGTTATATACGGGATTTTATAGTTATGCCGTGTATTTTATAGTTATAGGACCACAGATAAAAATGGTCATCTGACGTCATCTTTGATTTGGGCAGAACTACTCTATTCACACGTCGCTGCATGAATACGTGAAACATGTCTATCCATAAATTATGATTTACATTAGAATAGTGAGGAACCTGTAGCCGTTTCTAAGTCTATGATTTCTATGTTTCACCAAATTCGTTGAGGACAAAAGCAACATGAACTTGCAACTTGTTGCTTTTGAGCATATTCAACAAAGCAACATATTCTTCCAATATTGTTCATTAACTACGAATCAATTTTCAAGTTTTCCTAGGTGAAAACTTCGCAAAGGCAAAGTCCCCATTCCTTTTTAAATCAAGCGGCTTAGTTGTTCAATTTTTCCGAAACCACTGCTATTGAAAGTGGTAAACGTCATATTGTAGAAGCCCTAAAGATATTCAGGAAAGTCTACTGTCATTGAACCTGCATCTGAAATACTGAAACGATCGTCGGCCATCGACAGGCCGCTAAAAAGCCGCCCATGAAATACCGTTGTGAATGGACGTTGTGAATGGACCGTTGTGAAGGAACTAGGATCGATCAGCGTCACGAACTGCGATGGGCATCGTCGGTCGGTGCCTGGGACTTGCCGTCGAAGAACTTGTTAGTAAAGTTACCGTCATGTCCATGCATGTGTCCAGTCACTACAGCGCAGCTGCTTGACAAGCCAGGATTGCCAGCGCCTGTCTGGAGCCCAGCTTCGATATTGCTCCTGTCGCGTCAGCTGCTGACAGCTGATCAGGAGTTTGTGGCTTATGTACAACTGCTCGTAGCTGATAAGATGCACTTCTGTCTTCGAGCGATCAAATTTCCAGCGCGGACACTTGTCAATAAGTCTGCTATCAACAGATCAGAAGTTTTACAGCGGGCGACTGATCATACTGATCATATGCCAGAAAATCTTCTATTTTAGTGATATGGAAAACACTAGACGAAAAAACACTCGAAAGCTTCGTATACAAGATTCAATTGCCTCTCATTGATCAAGCTAAGTACGCTAATGCATGTTACGCTCCGAACGGAGGTATTAGCAAGCATCAACATTTCTTCAGAAACCGCGTTTGGTAGTCGTATTTGCCCTCGCGATGTACCGCACTTGGTGCACACAGATCATAAAGAGCACGAGCGGTGAGGTAGTACGTAGTAGGGTGGTATGAAATCAATTTTAGGTCAGCGTGTAGAAGTCTCGCGGAAGATAGGGTCGTCGTAAAGTTGCGGGGAGGCAGCCACGTCCACAATAAATCTCTCTTCTTCAAGATTGCTTCCTTCTTCCACCTTTGTTGATACTCGTGTTCCGCCTCGCTCTTCGGAGACACTGCGTCTGGAGTCGCTCGCTAGTCCCGTCATGAATAAATCCTGATATAAGTTGGAAGTTTTATTTACTCTTTACCGCATATTTTTGGCATAGAATAATTTAATACGAGTTTCAGTCGGAATTTGTTCTATTTAGACATTCATTTATGTGAGCTCTCGGAGCTTTGATACTTTATTGGGGAAACTGCAATTCCTAACATAACCTAAATTCATGAATTATAATTTATCAAACAGTTTTCAGCTTTTTACTTCTCAATGAGCATATTATTGGGGAAGTATTTTATCCTTTAAAGTAAGTTCGACCAGTTATTTATCAATTTGCGTAATATTTGTTTGTTTATTATATGAATGTTTTCATGAGTGTTCTATTTATTTCAGGTCTGTGAATAAATTTGTTCTTTCGGAATTGACTTGATTCTTGCCCATTGAATTACATAGTTATTTTCAATAAAGTAAGTATTGATTGCAAAATTTAAATTCATTATCGAGTATAATCGAGAAATTAACAATCTGTTGACTGGAATCTGTTATATAAGTTATTATTCACTGTTGTTATTCCTGTAATAAATGTACACGAACTTGACTATTGGCCTTCTTATTATTGTAATTCAGTACTAATTCAGTTCTTGATCCGAATCTCAATCTCCATCTCAGTTGTCAGTTCACGGTTTCACTTTATTTTTTTACTTACTTCTGTATTTTTGGTCTTCGGTTATAGTTTCTGTACTCGTTGTAATGATTAAAAATGAAATATGTGTACTACGGTATCTAAGATGTATGTAATTATATTATAATAAATCTATAATGCATATTTACTCCTGTTAAACACTAGGTTGTCACGTGGTCCCTATTTAATATTTCATTAACCAAGTAAACACTAGCGCGATATCGTGTTTAATGGCTAAAAATTCCTCATATTTGAACTCGTAATTGAAAGACTATTGTTAAAAAGTCACAATAGTTGTTTCTTTGCGATTAACATGTACCGAAATATTTACTCAGTGATCAATACATGTTCATATTTTCTGGTGATTGGAAGCTCACATTTACCTAATTTGTTTACATGTTGCAGGCATCGAAGGTAGCGGTGCAGAGCTGTCACGCGTACACGGACTGCACCTCCTGCCTCCAAGCGATGGACCCTTACTGTGGCTGGTGCTCCTTGGAGAAAAGGTAGGTTTGCCATAATTTATTATTTGCCGTGAATTGAGGTTATGCAGGAAATTTTACGATCGGGATTCGAAGTCGATCTGAGATATACAAAGAAATTTTTGAGAAGGTATATTGTTATTTTGTTTCGTTAAACTTTGTTTTTCGATTCGTTTTCAATGATATCAGGAATTTTAGGTTTTGATTTGGCATTTATATTTCTGTTTGTGATATTTTTCCCAATCATCTATTCAAATTAACAATACCTTGAAAAATATTCAATAGAAGTTTTAAATGAAATTGCTCATATTCAGGGATTCTCGCTAATCCAAAAAGCGTAATTACAAATCGCCAATAACTGGAGACAGTCAAACGCATTTGTTTTGTTCGTAGCTTTTCCGCAGCCGAGCACGGCTACATAGTTTCAGATTCCAATAGCCAATAATGAGTGATTTTTTGACATAAAAACACTATTTAGGCAGTTTTTCCTTCAGGCAATCTATTGATAGAAAATCCATTTGCAACTTGCTTTATTTAGTGATTATAATGATAAATACGGAAATATTAGAATTCATAGTATTTTGGAGCATTTCTTCCAACATTCCTAGCAAGCTTGTGACATATTGTCTCTTCATCACTTTTGTTTATACTTCATCAGAAATCCAATGCCAAATTTTTCTTCTTTGTAACAAAGTTTACAATTTCATGTAATATGAATAGAATGCGCCTGCGCATGTTTATATATGTAGGTATTTTCCAGCGAATAAATCCTCGGAATTTTCTCGAAGCATTTTATTTATTCTCAACGTGCTTCCACGTTTGACAACTCAAAGTCTCTCTGAATAACTGAAATACATTCTAATTTGCTGCACCCCTTATCTTTTTTGTATTTTATTACGTAAATCTTGAATTTATGTTAGCGTCTGTCGTTTATTATAAATGCACATTCATGCGCGCACGTTGTAATTAAGAACCTCAATTAATTAAGTTGAAAGGTTAATACTCGCGCTGCGTTTTCCAGTGAACACTTTTGTGCTCCATTCTAATCCGCAGTGTGCGTCTGATTTTATGGATTCTCTTAATACTTCGCCGCAATTTCCGACCACGCGAACTGCACGCACCTTAATTGCTGCATATTAATGTGTCTTAATCCGAAACCAGCAATATAGCCCGGGTATGCAACAGCGCTTTCATCAATTCTTTGTTCTGAAATAAAATTTTAGTTGATACGGGCCCTGCCAGTGCGCAGTCGACTCTGAATAATTTACATTTATGAGCACTAAAACAAGCTTCTAACTTGAGGAATTTTGGCAAAAATGGCTTCTTGATTAGCTTTTTATTCCACTTGAATGAAGCATCTCGTTATGTGTGAGACATGACATCAGCTTTGCATTATTTGTTCTGTTTACGTGCATTACATGTTCTGTTTACATACATTATTCGTTTGCATGTTTATTATACGCGAAATTCTTTGCATCTTATTTCAGGCTCTCATATGGCTTTTGACATAGACGTTTTTTCGTTGACCGCAACTGATGTTTTTATCTCATAGACACTCGATAGCTCAATAGTGGTCCGAATGTTTGAGTTTATGCACGAGACATAATACATGAATAATAATTAATTGAAGCCCACATGAGTAAATATAAGATCATCTTTTTGGTCTTTTATGTTTCATGTTAAATTTGTGTAACTTTCTAGTTGTATTTTAAACCGCTGGATACATTTATGAGACGTTCTTTAGATAAAAATAAGCTGCTAGAGTAAAAAATTTCTGTTAATTGATAACTTCCACTAAAATAAACTCAAAAGTGTACATGATAAGGCATAATATTTTTGAAGCGAGTCTGCTTTTATCATCTGAAATGAACGAGCAAATTATGGTACCTCTGGGGTAAATCGATATTTAATTTGTGGCGTAGTCGAGCGTAAATAAATTGTTGTTATGAATATTTATTCCCTAGAATTATGTACGTGCCTAAATTAGTTACTTATGTGATTCAACTTTCGTGCGGCTGTTGGGAACTGAAAGTTTTTCAGTTCCCATAACTGGCAAGCTGACTAAAAAATTGTCCGAAGTGTTCCGTAATTCGGTCACGTTGCTCCTTCGCCGACACTCTTCATCAGCGCTCCTAAATTTCTTCATTAAAAGATCCGTGGCAGCTGCCTCCCCTTTTTTAATGTAACCGAACATTTTTCAAAAATTTCTCATAAATTCCTAAGGTTCCTATAACACTGTTAATTTTGGTCCCCTTTTGCCAATATTAAATACTAATTTTTATCCCATTTCGAAGTCCCCTTTTCTTCGATGACTGGGGAAGGTTCACAAAGCTGGGACGGTGGCCCGGGTGTTGCATTATGTGCTTGGATTGCGTAATTACAGAACTTGTCGCGGAGTGCCGTGGCTGGGTGCGAAAGAAATATTATTCTCCCCTAATGAACTTTTACAGGCTGTGTACCGACTACTGCTGCAACTTAACCAAACAAACGATTACCTATCTTAGTTGTAATCTGCGGGTTAATACAAATTTAAAGTTAAAATAGGGACTTGAAAATTCATTATATCTCTACAGAGAACGTTATGTAGTCAAGCTCCGTTGTCAATTCAAAAATACTTTAATGCAAATACTATCATTTAGAACAATTTGAATTCGCGGAGAATGCAGTAAAAACGAGATGGAAAAATTACAAACGAGGCAACAGAAATAATTGCAGGAGATAAATCTATCTACATATACGTCATTTCATTTAGTTAGAGAGGTTGCACAAGCAGATCTCCTGTTTGTTGGCTCTTTCCTTCTTGCTAATAGAATAATAATAGAAGTTTCGAGACGTTATACCGACATCCGTTTGATAATCTGTATTTATCGCATCTTAAATGTGAGAATATGTTAATTCAATTTAAAGTTAGTAACTGGCAATACGCAAAGATTGACATTCGGACGCTATTTCATAAATAAAACTCAGAACTCTTTTGTCATGCAAGTTATCTCAGATGCTGAGATGAAGATGAACAATAAACAATGTTCTTATGAGGGATACAAGTCTAAATATTTGATATTCTCATTTCCTCTTCTAATAGTTGCGATAAACAAGTTTTTTGTTCTTGCGTACACATAAAAATTGCTCAAAGTATTGGCAGTTTGGAATCGTAACAAGGATAATCTTCCATCACAGGTAGCCAGCCAGGTCTCTGACTCGTACATTGGATTGAAGTGAAATCTGATCGAGGTTTCACGTTACTAAGCTGTAAATAATGTTCGGCCTATGATTAGTAAAGGGAAGTAAGCACCCGATTGACTTTTCCACCGCCAGGTTATGTATTACGTAAGGAGTTTGGCCTTTTCGCTAGTGACTACTAACTGAATGCAGTGTCACTTCTTGTGTTGTTGGCTGCAATCTCTTCTGCATTGACTGCTTGATGAGACGACAGCCAGCACAGCGACCCATGATGGTTCTGGCTGAGAATTTCCTCCCTTCACTATAACGTCTTGCGTGTCAAACTGCCAATGTAATTGGTACTGCGATAATGATCTTCAAGAGATTCGTGCGGGCCCTTTGAGAGGTCGATATAGTCACTCAATAGCGTCATTAGGAGGCACAGAAGCGTAGGTCTTGTTCATTGCTATCACCTGCTTTTCATGGGAAGTCAGGAGCATAATGCGGCAGACGTCAGGTATTGTGGACACATCTCGCGCTGCAGTGCCTTGCCTTCTCAACCATCAAGTGTTTATCGCGAGCCATGCAATGGTGGAGATGTCGTCTTAATGGAGATAATGCAGCTGCTGCCAGTGGCGCTTGTGATTTGCTAATAAATGGATTGCTGCTGAGCCTGCCACTAATGGCTGACCTGAGTCGCCCTGAGAATGCTTTTGAGTTGCCTAACTTGAATATATTTTATATTCTCGATATCAAGTGTTCTTCGTGAAATAAATAGAATTGAGTTAGGATAATTTTTTGCGTTCTTGACTGCTTAATTATTTCAATTTTCAAATTGTATGATTTAAATTTCTGAATTCCTTTGTTTCGGGTATATTTTTATTTCAATATTACAGTTGCGTTATTTCTGCTTACAAGACGAAATCGCCGCTCGTTTCTACGCTTTGCATGCTCACAAGAAAAATTTGATCATGGACGATTGCGAATCAACTTTTCATTTTAGTAATAATTCTAAGAGCCCGTTTAAATTCTATGAGTGCATTGTATTTCTAGGAATTAGCTCTATTTCATTGAGTCCGTTTTAATTCAAAGACTCCGCTCCAATTCTATTAGTTCGTTCTAATTCAATGAGTCCGTTTTTACTCTTTGAATAAATTGCGTAAAGTTTCAGACGAAGTTTTTGTAGAAGCTCACTTCTGCTTGGAAGACCTTCGCGTGTTGCATCATTAACTCGAGCGTTAATTTTTCAGCGCTCTAGATCCGAAAACACCATCGTTACTCCTCCCAATTCATGTTTTCGGTAAATAAATATAAAATATTAAACCAGCTAGGCTCTGTTCTTGATGAGTTTCTCTTTGAGTTTTTAATCATTCATGTCGCCTTCTGCGAGTTTTTTTTATTTCGTTATGATAGTTAACAATTTTTGGGGGAATCTTTTTCCAAAGGGAATGATTTTATTTTTTTATGACTTCATTCCATTTTCAAAATCATTTAAAAAATTGGTCCATGATAAAGATTTGCCTACTAGAATTGACCCACTTTTATTCTCATAACTTTGTGTAGGTTTGGGTAAAATCAACGCATATCATACGGTTCTTTTAGTGGCTGAATATTTGTTTGGATCGCAGAAAATTAACAATACGGGCTGCTTAGGGCCACTTATGCTCTACAGTATTAATCTAATTATTCCTAGTTCTCGTCAATTATTTTTTCTTTCGCAAAAGAAATCAATATTCCAGCTCGTTTCCAAATTGATAGCTTTTAAGCTATGACGCAAAGTCCATGAAATCAATTTCGCTGTTAGGCAAATTTTTTTTTTATTTGTCAAGTCGGAACAAGCCGCAATTCCTTCACATTTAGAAGAT